TTTTAAAGCCATCACCCCTTGTTCTGTCACTCCCTGCCCTTGGCCAAAGTCCCTCCCCAGCCTTCCTGGAGCCCCTTCAGGTACTGGAAGACCACTAGAAGGTCTCCCTGGAGCCTTCTCTTCTCCAGGCTGAACAGCCCCAACTCTCTCAGCCTGTCCTCACAGCAGAGCTGCTCCAGCCCTTGGATCATCCTTGTGGCTTCCTCTGGACTGGCTCCAGTAGGTCCATGTCCTTGTTTTGGGTGCCGCAGACCCAGATGCAGCACTGCAGGTTGGGGTCTCATGAGAGCAGAGCAGAGGGGTAGAATCTCCTCCCTTGATCATGCTTCTCTTGACTCAGACTAGCCTGAGGCTTGGCAGAGCCCTTGGAATCTGCTAGGGCCTGGCCAAGGGGCTCCTTTCCTTGAGTTACCCCATCTCAGAGGCTTCAGAAAGGTGAGAAAACCCTAGAAACAAGCTTTGCTCCGAAATGAATGCACCAGATCCCTCTCCTCCCATCCATCAGAAGTCAGAGCAGGGACCAGTCTCTAGGAGGAAAAATTCCTCCCAAGTGGTTAAAACCTAGTGCCCAGCTCCAATCCTTCCCCAAGGGACCACAGAGGGGACTTTCTTGCCCACATCTTGCCCTCTGGGTGTGTGGAGAGGATGGAGGCTTCACAACGCCTTATTCCCCGGGAGAGTACGGACTGAGTCCCATCCTTCTCCTCTTTATCTTCAGGGCAGGGGCTAGGCAGAGACTTCCACCAAGGTGTGCCCAGCACAGGACTGGGGGATGGTGGGGACTAGGGTCTCCAGGGTTGTCCCCCTGCCAGGAGAAGAGGTCCCAGCTCCTTGTCTGGCTGTGGAGGCACCTGTAAGATTTAGCTTCATACCCACACATCTCCATCCACCTTCTCCATTGACTGGGAGGTGGTGGCACAACCTGCCCCCTACCTTGTGCTCACTGCAGCCTCTTCCTTCCCCCAGTCCCTTTGGACCCTGAAAAAGTCTTTGAGGAGCTGAAGGAGAAGGACAAGTTAGAAGAGGTAAGTGGGTCCCCGGGCATAGGGCAACTTCCCCACGGATGTCCCCCAAGGTGGGTGGCACGGGAAGCCCTCCTTGGAGCCTGACCCATCCCTTCTGTGGCAGCTTGGCATCCTCAACGTCACCTATGACAAAATGGAGAGGGAGATGATAATCAACGATGAGTTCAGCACACCCCTGATCATCACCATCGTCACCTTGGCTGGCTCCCTGCTACTGGTTGCAGCCATCTACGGCTGCTGCCACCAGCGCTTCTCCCAAAAGAAGGACCAGGTAAAGTGGGAGGAGGGTGGGGCAGATACCCTGAGACCTTTTTGTCTCAGAGGTGTCTTTAAGAGATGGAGATCACAAGTTTTGCCATCTCTGCTGATGGAGACACCCTAGCTTGCCCAGTGGGCACCACCCTCAGGTGGTTGCTCAAGGGGTGCCCAAGTGCTGTGGATGCTCTGGAGGGGCAGGAGTTGCCCTTTGGGGATATCAGGGTGGGGGGAAGCCAGGATGAAAACCAGGGAAACAAGGGGCTGGTGGTGGTGGGGTACGGCAACAAGCAGCATCCATCCCTGCTGTCACCCAAAGAAGGGGGATGGAGCAATGTCCTTGGGTCATAATTTTGACAAGAAAGGCTTTTTCAATCTAACCCTCCCCACAAAAAAAAAAAATCTCAAAATACCTTTATAAGCAGGGTTGGGTGCCCAGCATCACCCCGATGCCTTCCCAGGGGTGCCAGGGTAGTCCACGGCTGTTTGCAGGGTGGGAGGATGACTGCAGGAGGACATCAACACCGTACAGCTCAGCCTTTAGGAGAGCTGGGCCAGGGCCAAATTTGAAAGCAGCAGCAGCAGGATTTAAGGAAGAACAGACATGGGAAAAAAAATAAATAAAATAGTATCATTTTTATCTCAGGAAGCAATTCTGGGTGATTTCAGTGCAGCATCCACCTGCAAGGACTGGCCATTCCCACACCCCACGGCACTGGCAGGGAGAGCTCTGCCATCTACCCTGGGTTTGCATCATCTTCTGTTGCTCTTGTTGAGGATTTAGCTCTGAAGGAGAGACAGCAACAGAAAGGGGGGAAAAAATGAGGCCAAATAATGCAATTAGGGTAAAACACCAGCCCGATGGAGAAGCAAACCTTTGCATCCTACTTCAAGTCGTTCCCACTCAAACCAGCTCAACATTCTCAGGGTGGTTCCCAACCTCTGCCCCATGTGCCAGGAGCTGTGTGAAGGTGAGGGAGAAAGCAGCCTTTGCAGTCTAAACAACTGCAATCTAACGGGGATGAACACAGGAGGCAGGGAAGAGCAAACCAATACCAGCATCATAGATACCTTCCCTGGTGGTAATTAAAAGATGGGTAGATGAGGTGCTCAGGGATATGGTTTAGAGGTGGAACTGGTAGTGTTAGATGTATAGTTGGACTCAATGATCTCAAAGGTCTTTTCCAACCACTATGATTCTATACTTCTATCAATCAGGCTTGTTTTTGAAAGGTTTGATTTTTGGGGAGGGAATGGGGGAGGATGCAAGGACTGTTCACAAGGGCAGGTAGCAGTAGGATGAGGGGTAATGGTTTTAAACTAGAAAAGGGTCGATTTAGGTTTGATATCAAGAAAAAGTTCTTCAATATGAGGGTGGTGGATCATTGGAACAGGTTGCCCAGAGAGGTAGCAGAGGGCTCACCCCTGGAGATACTCAAGATCAGGCTTGATGGGGCTCTGAGCAACCTGCTCTAGTGAAGATGTTCCCACTCACTGCAGGGGGGTTGGACTAGATGACCTTTGAGGATCCTTTCCAACCCAAAACATTCTATGAGTCTATGATTTGACCTCCACTATGGTCCACTTGGAGCTTACAGGGTTTCACAGCTGGGCCATCACTCAGCCAAAATCTCCCTGGTCAGGGTGACAAACATGCCAGCAGGGACAGGGAGCAGTGTAACATTCTTGCCCTGTATTGTTCAGAAAACAGGCAGAAATAGGATGTTTTTAGTGATGGGACTGCGTGTCCCTCAAGCAACATGCTGCAGGGGAGCAGGTACCAGCCCTGGCTCGATGCTCTGGGGGTAAATACCCACCAGGCACAGGGTAAGGTAGTGAAACCAAAGCAAAACATGGCAGTTCTTGCTCAGAGCACGGGAAATGATCTTCTTCCAAGCAGATGCGATAGGTTTTTAGAAAACCAGACACATTTCTCCTTTCTGGATTTGGTTTTGGGTGGTTTCTTTTGTTTTCCTCCTGCTTCTTTATCAAAAATGACTTGAAAGTTGTTTTTTTTTTTTTATTTTTATTATTTTTACCTTTCTCCAACCCTCCTTCCCCACCCCCTTTCAAACCCTGCTGTTGTTTTACCTTGGAAATAACCAGCACATCCACCCTGATGTCCCCGGGTTTGATGATGGACATGTGGCCCTGATCTTTAATGTGAGTTCCAATACAGGGATCGGAGGGGCGGGCGCCGCATCTGTAACACCCCCAGCTCTCACCTCCGGTGCTTGGTAGGATTCTGTAGCTTTTAACAGGACTAAAGCCTCCTAAAGCCCAGCTTTCAAGACTCCTTCCCCTTGCTGCACGGCGCAGGGGGGTGAGGGACAATACGCTGCCTGAGCATCCATCTACCAAGGGGTTGTACCAGCAACAAAACAACCCCTACAACAGCCCAGGCGCCTCTTCCGCTTCTGAGCATCCCATCCCATCCCTGCCCGCATTCCCTCACCATGTGCAACCTGAGGGACCCCCCCAGCAGCACCTTTGCAGCTCCCCTGCTAGCTCCAAGCCCCACAGTTTCACTTCTCCATCCCTTTCCTTCTCCATGGATTCCCTCCCACGCTTGTCTCCTGACATTTATGAGGAGCACTGCAATACATCAAGCTGTAAATCCAGGAGGATTTTAACAGGGGTGCTTCTTGAAAGCCCTGTGCTCCCCAAAAAAGGGCTGATTGAGGATTGCAGCTCCCCAGTGAATCCCTCCAGGGTGGGATGGGGATGAAGGAGCTGCCATGGTGAATATAAAATTGGAGTGGGGGTCTGCCAGAGGCTGGAGCACAACGTACCCAAGGAGCAGGGTGATGCAGTGCCTGATTCATCCATGAATCAGCCAAAACCACACATGGACAAAGGGGAAGGGGCAGGAAGGGCTGCTCTTTCCTTGACTGGTTTCCACCAAGAGCTCCAGAAAGAGAAGAGATGATGCTGATGGAGGGGTAAATGGGCCAGCAGCATCTGCAAGGTGGGAGCTGCCCCCAGGTCAAGAAGGACAATAATGCTAAAGCAGCTGTAACAAGAAAGCAGTAAAAAAGGGACAGGGGGAAGAAAGGGGAGAGGAAGGACAGAGTCGGGTTGGAGAGGCAGGAGGGAGGATGCAGGGTTGGGGTGAAACAGCAGTGCTCAACCTTCTTCCCCAGGTCCTGGGGGGATGGAATCACAGGTCCATGGCCAGGCTGAAACTAGCAGCTGCTCCTGGAGGTTTTCCACGTGTCTCTGGCTGCTCTTTCCTCCTTCCCACCATTAGCAGAGTCTCTCTCTTGCCAGCTCCATGCTATCCCCTCGCTGCACCAGTGCTGAGCGCAGCCTCAATCTCACCATAGAAGTTTCTAGATGTAGTTATATACATCTATATGGGGCAGCGGCCACAGCTGGCTGGGAGGTGACACCCCTGAGGTGACATGGACAGCATGGCCAAGCTATTTTTCACTGGGGTTTCTGTGTTTTCTTTCCTCGCAGCAGCGCCTGACCGAGGAGCTGCAGACAATGGAGAACGGCTACCACGATAACCCCACGCTGGAGGTGATGGAGACCTCCTCTGAAATGCAGGAGAAGAAAGTGAACCTCAACGGTGAGCTGGGGGACAGCTGGATCGTTCCTCTCGACACCCTCATGAAGGAGGACCTGGAGGAAGAGGAGGACACACATTTATAGGATACAGAACTCAATCAAGCAAAAAACAACCACCACCCCCCAGAAAAAAACCCCTTGAATCCGTACACACACGCACACACAACTCCAAAACAAGGCAAAATTCCCAACAAACCCCAGAATCCCTTAATAAACTAATCATGGACCCTCGTGCCATCACGTGGGATGCAGGATGGAAGAAGGGACGTGAAAGGACACCTCCAAGGCACGTTGTCAACACAAGTCACCATGGTGGCTTCATCCAGATGAACATCCTCCATCACTCATGGGTGATCAGCAGGGTGCTCTATGACACCAGACCTGACTGTGGGCAAACAGGGTGGCTTCACTCCAGAAGGGCTGTTGGTGTCTCCTCCAAGCATGTCCCCTCCCATCCCACATCCAACCACACCAAATGCAGCCTCCAGCTATCGAGCAATTAAAAAGTAAGAAGAAATAAATGTAAATAGGATGGGAGAGGGAGCACAACTCCCAACAGCAAACCAGCACCTGGCAATTAGAGCCAGAAAAATCCTCTGGCCCACGCGGTTTAGTCATCACTCTGCCCTCCCTGACATGAAACGCCTGGGTATCGAGTGGAAAAAGCTGGACCAGCCTGTTCCTTTCTAATCCAGTTTCCACCCTCTCCCCATAAACTGCCCGGCTAAAACGCACAAGAGCTCCACGTTGTGCCACAGGCAAACGAACGCATCCAGACCTGGCTGGAGGGGAGGGATGTGGCAGTGCCAAGTGATGTGCAGCCCCAGGCTGATGGATGGATCCTCCACTCAGCTGGAGACCAGGAAAGGCACACCAGCTTCTTGTATTGATGCAAAAGGGAGGAGAAGGAGTAATTCCTTGAGTTCATCCCACCTAGGAAGGATTTAAGGAGACCAAGAGTGATGCCTGGTCGTTAGCTCAGGTATGAGGTTGGGGGTTTTGTGGTGTGGAAGCTCAGGTCCGGCGCCAGACCAGCTCTGCTGCTGCATTTCCCCACAGAAATGTTGATCACCTTCCAGGAATTACACAGCATCATCTCTCAGCCCACATCCATCCTCCCCTGAGACTCTGGGTTACGTGCACCGTGACGGTTTGTGATTTTTTGTGGTCATGTTTTCCTGTGTGAGCAGCACAAGAGATAAGAGCAGCAGAAGCACGAGCCAGGCAGATTGGTGGTATTCAGGGTTTTCTCCATCGGTACAGCCCTTGGTGTTTCCTCCCCACAAAGTTTAGAAGCTCAGTCCACAACCTCAAGCTTTTCTTCAAAAGCAAATAAAGAAAATTCTGCAAAGAAAATTCCAGCTCAGCAGCAAAACTGGGACCGAGCTTTGCCCCACAGCCTTTAAGTCTCTTGGCCAGGTCTCCCTTTGCTGTAAGTCTTTAGAGGGAAAAATATATATATATATATATATATATGCAGGAGTAGAAGAAGCTGGACTGAGGCCGTTTGTGATCTTCTGCTCCACATCACGGCTCCTAAATGGCTCTGAAAGGACGAAGAGAGGTTCACACCTTTGCTCTGGCTTCGGTGAAGCAGCCTAGCCCTGGCAGAGGCAGGGATCAGAGAGGGCTCCATCCTCCAGCACACAGGGAAGAGGACCAGAAGGTCACTTGGGTGAGTGTATCTCCCAGCACATGAGGATGGTGGTGGTCCTGAGCACCCTGTCAGGCAGAGGAGCTGCAGATGGAGAGCTAGTCCCCAGCACAACTCTTCCTCTCCCCCCTGCTCACCATAGATGGTGCATTCACCAATGCACGAGGAGGTGATTTCCTTCAGGCTCCAGGTCAAAGACGATGGGGATCCACTCCCACAGCCGCCCGGAACGAGGGGAAAAGCGGAGCTGAGCGATAGGAAGCTTGGAGAAACCCATGTCAAGCCCATCCTCAAGACTACTCATGAAGGAGAGGATCAGGGTGGTTTGCTCAGCCCCAGGAGAGAAGCTGGCAGAAGATCACATCTTCTCAAAAGGGACTGGCTCTTCTCCCTTCTGTCCTGCACTGAAGGGCAGAGTTTGAAGTGTTCAAACTTATATATTTTTGTATGTAAATATTCCTGCTCTCCATTAGCGATGTATTCAGCACACTTCACTTACCTGTGCACTGCACTACGGGGAAGTCGTTTGGGAAGAGGGGGGAGGGAAATTAAGAAAAGAAAAAAAAAAAAAAGAAAAAAAGAAAAAAGAAAAAGCTGAAGGTCAGTCTGGTAGGGGATGAAGATTCAACATGAAGCAGGAAAATACCTCCTGCCTGGATAACCCCACACCGTGGCTTTCTCCTCACGCCAGGACAGCATCGAGTGCAGCTCAAAGAACCCATCACGGCGTTTGCAATGACTCACGTGAGCGCGTTCGCTTCCCCATTGCCCCGAGAGACAAGCGACGGGTCGGTGACCTCACGTTTAAGTCCTTCACAGAAAATAAAAGTGTTGAAAACACGGGGCAGCAGCGAGGTTTTGGTCACCAGGGCTGCCATTGCCGTAAGGACATCCCTGGCAGAGCATCTCCAGGCAGTTGGGTTTGGGCAGGTGCCTCAGATCCCCCTTCCCAGCAAAGAGATGCCAAAGTGCTTTAATGAATCAGGTCCAAAGACTTTCCAAGAGAACCCTACAAAGGCTTGAGATCAAGCAACCTTAAACCTTTCCGAGCAGACACCACTGAAGATATCAACTGCTCAGCAAGTGCTTATAGTGATTTATATTTGAATAGGAATTGTACATTTATTTATTTTTCCAGACACCATATTTTTAAACCACTAATATTTTATAGTAGATTTTCCTCCCTCTATTTAAAGAACTATTTCCATGGGAAAAAAAATACAACAACACAACACACCAGTACTTTTTTTTTTTACGTTGAGAACATTCTTTTTGGAAAAAAATAATAAAAACAATAAAAAAAAAATCAGGTAGGAAATGCAGCGATGAGCATCTTTGGCCTTAATCCTTCCCTTCGTAGACTGTAGCCATAATTGTTAGACCAAAAATAAAACTAAAAATAAAATAAAATAACATAAATCTACCCAGGCATTTCCACCCTCCCTGCCCCTCCTCCCTTCCCCACACTCCCCTTCTCTCCCCTCAAACAGCTTTAACATCCAACACGTTGTACAAAGAGATTCTTGCTCTTACTTTTTGGTGAGACTTTTACAAGCAGCTCAGATGTCCTTGCAAAAGACTTTTCTATTTTCAGATTCACAAGGAATGTGTAAATATTTTAAGGACCGTTTATCTCTCGCTCACAGTGCCATGACCCAACTGATGAGGTTGATACTGTGACTGTTGTCTACAGAAGATATAGAGGAGAAGACAAAATCCATAAGGGACTGCAGAAGGAGAACCTACTTCTTAAGGTGGCTACTCATTGAACCTTGCACATATAGTAGAGCTCTTCCGTACTGTATAGCAGCATCTCTCACGGGGACAGGAGTCTGATTTACACTGGAATTTATTGAGGAACTGGATTGTAGAGATTATTCTTGCATTTTCCTACAAATATATTTTGAAAGCATCATGTATTTCTGTCAATAAACATTCTTATGTAAAAGATTCGATTCTTGGCTGAGGGAAAAGGGGTGGGGGGAGCAGAGCAGAGGCACAATGAGCTGTTATGTAGATCATAGTGTGGTATGGGTGGGAAGGGACCTTAGAGATCATCCAG